TATTTACTGAGAAAAATGGTGACGTGTTCAATACTTGTTTTACCTGCTGTACACCTTCATAAACTGGGAATTGTTGGTTATATTAACTTTCTGTTTGTGGCACATTAGTATTTGGGAGGGGGGAAACTTTTCAAGATGGGCGGTGACCATGGTGGCCATTTTGGATCCAACTTTAGTTTTTTTCAATGGGAAGAGGATCATGTCATCAAACCTGTGTTGAGTTTCACAAGAAAAACAATGGATATGCTCGGTCGGCTTGAACGTAGCTTTATTCTTTCATGAGTTATTTACAAGTTTCTGATCACTTATAAAATGTGTTCAAAGTGCTGCCCATTGTGTTAATTGTCAATGCAAAGTACCTCTGCAAAGCCTTATAATCAGAGAGTGACTAATTCAACTCATTTATGGACATGTGTCTGTTTTATTTATAAAAATAAATGTTTTGTTATGAAGAAAGGACATGCAGGCGAGTATCCTCAACTCTGATAGTGTAACAAATCGTTTCCTGAAAACCAACCCACAGAGAAAGCTCCGCCCCCTCATTTGCATATTGGAACATGAAATAAAACAACATGAAATAGTAAAACAGCCTGAAATAGACAAACTGCATGAAATAAAAGGGAACTTCAAAATAAAAGTCCCCGAAATATGTCAAAAAACTTTACAAAAAAGTGTCACAAAACAAAATTACAATATGTTATAAATAAATAAATATTTATACATGCTTAAATAAATAAATTTAAAAAATATTTTATTAATAAATAATATAAAGAAATGCAAAAATATGTATTATAATATTTTGATTTTGTTCTATTCATGGGGACATTTATTTATTTATTTATTTAATGGAATATTTATTAATATTTTATTACTTACAGTTAGGGCTGGGTGATATGGCCAAAAAATAAATAAAAATGATCATGACTTTTTCATATTGTCAGATCTCGATTAATATCACTATTTTTTGTTAACCTAAAAAAGTGACTGAAAAATAATTTAACAAATAAATAGCTACAGAAAAAAAAGAATAATAATGGCTGTTATTTCACTTTCACTAATATAACAAATAGCTGTGGTTCAGGAGAACATGAAATTATTTTTGCAAAGTATTAAAAAAGGTATTTACCAATAAAAAAACATTTATGTGTGAATCATAGAATCTCACATTAATAAAGTTATCCTTTTGTAAAATTTAAGTATTAGAATTGCAATTTTCCAAAACCGATTTTGAATAATGTTGCTGCTTTTTTAAATTATTGTTCCAACAAAGTCTGCAGGTTGTAAACATCAGAGCAGCTGTTGTGATGACGTCACAAGGAGGTTCTTAAAGGGACAGAGTCCTATTTTAAGGCCTTTAGAAACAGATATGATTTGACATCAAGTTTATTTTCTATTTAAACATATTTGAATAACAACTGAAGGTGACATGGTTAATTTATTATGGTATATAATTTAAACATAAGCCTGAGAAACATATAATATTGCCCCTTTAAAG